TCTTAGCCAATCAAAATTTGTTACGTCACAAAATGATCTACAAAAACTAGCCAATCATAATGAAAGCCCTCTATGCTGGCTAAAGCCAGGTACATCACGAAATTACCCGATATATAACCCAGATCAGTCCGAACAAAACAAAGCGAAACGGCAAAAACAAAAACACGAAATATATAAAAATGGCCATCCAAACCGGTCTTGGTTGACTAATTAAAAGTGTCGGAAATGCGATTTTACTATATAAAACTACTCCTAACCCTAACCCAACCTAATCCTAACCTAAACTCACCCTAACCCTAAAAATCGGTAATCTCGTGGTGTACCTGGCTTTAGCCATCCCCCGAAATTGACAAGATCTTCGGAAAATCAATTTTTATGTTGTAAATCTTATAATAAATCATAAGAAATACAAACTTTAAAAAGCTATGTTGCAAAATTTTATTAACACAACTACTTTTGTGTCTTAAGTGAAAAACGATCCTAATCTTATTTTAAATTGATTTATGTAAAAAAATATCTTTTGAAAAAATTTCAATTTCGTTCCTTTTCTCAGCACCTATCCCATATTATCACTGAAATATTCATTGTTTAATCAGAGGATACAATATATCAAAAACTAATACCGCTATAATTTCTTCGTGTGACTTACATCCAAAAGCGAGGACCAATTTTTACTTAATGGGCGGCTATGGTTTCATTAGTAAAATTATGAGTAATTCAGGCCTAATTTTTGAACGTCGCTCTTAACCAACCAAAATCGAGAATCTGCTGGTCCAATTTTGCTGCAGCAGCTATGGTTAATAACTATGCAGTTATTGCGTATTATGATATTTAAGGTACCTTTTTTCTTATCAATTGTGTAAATAGATCTAATCTACTTATTTAATCTGACCTCAATTAAATTAATTAGCGAGGACAAGTTACCTTTACGATTGATAAAAAATTGAAAAATAAACAATTTTATTAATTAAAATATAAAAAGTTGTATACAAACTAGCATAATCAATTAAAATTTTTTATACATATCTGTACACCATACGCTTTTTTCTAAAAAAGTATATTTATATGTATATTATACGCATTTCCTTTTTTTTATTGGTCTACGCAACATCTTTCATGGCATTATCTATACTAATTTATGCAACAACGACATAAAAAAAATTTATATCGTACCTCAGCAGGATAGATCCTCCTCTTCGCCCGAACATATTCAGATAAAAGTGGTCTACGGTTTATTTTTCCCTATTGTGAAAAAATCTAGTATCAGCGTTTTCATAAAGAAACTACAGGTTACCGGTAAGAAGTTTCTTTTGTAAGGAAGGAACGTAACCGATACTTCCTTCAGAATCAGCAGACCTTATTCAAGAAATTTGTGGTTAACCAGAGTAAAGAACAAACTTAGCAGGTCAATGCACGTTTAGTGACACATATTCATTAAAACAAAATGTTAGTATAATCTTTGTGATATGTACACATTTGGGGAAGTCCTGCTTAAAGCCCAAATGCTCTTCTTCCCCGATATTCCACAGCATTAGGCGTAGTACAAATCCAAACAGAAATATGCGTAAAGACTAAACGCTCTTCTTCCTTAATACTCCACAGCATCGGGCGTAACATACTTGCTATGTCCAAATCTGTTAAATGCTTTACCCATTTCTAAAAGTGAAATATACTAACCTTAAATTTCTGTTATTTAATTCGTATTACCAAATGTCGAAATGGAACATGGCAATTTTGTCGTTAACAATGGCCTCTCCGAATGTAAATATTATTCTCTTGAAATTCGTAGTCTCGTTTATAAGTATATTTTCCCTATTATAAAAACCTAGTATCAGCGTTTCTCAT